GCTATGCATTTAGTTATGCACAAGGAATTTCGAGAAAAAAGGTCAGAATCAGACAGTTTGATCAAGTGATCTCTTTAAAGGAAAACATACTTTCTGTATCTCCCGTAATCACTCAAATGCCAAGCCCTCAAACAGGATCTTTTCATATATACCAGATGCCTTAAACTGAGTCTGTCGCAGGTCATGTCTCCCATGTTAATCTCTTCACAATAAGCAGATAATTAAAAAAATAATATCTATAAATCAAACTAAAATGATGGAATGTTTGTTTAGAAGTTTACCAAATGGAATGACCCTGCTGGAATTCTTTCATGTAGCCTGTGAAAATGTCAGAATATATTCCATTTAAGAGGTCACAGTCCCCAGAGATCTCTGAGTTTTAGCCTGTATGTCTTTTCACATGCTTTAATATTTGAAAATTGTTCCTTGTAGACACTGACTGATGCCCTGGGAATGCTAGGATTGTGGGAACTGGCAGTACCAATGACAGACTTACTGGGAAATCAGTACCTACTATGTCTGCACTCTCATCTCCTATAGAACAGGATAACACATTTACAGGAGACCAAAAGAATCCACACATTAAAACATATTTGTTTTTCCTACACAGACCCAAAAACAAACTCCCCAACCCCCCACAAACCACAAATCTGTATCAATTGTAATATGCTGTGTGTTCTTACAAGGGATTATTTAGCAGAATATTTGCACTGGACATTCCAGGGACTATTAAAACCTTAGGGGGAAGACAAATCACAGAATTGCTGAGGTTGGAAGTGACCTCTTGACATCACCTGGCTGGAGCAGGGTCAGCTGAACAGGCTGCCCAGGACACTGCCCAGTGTAGTGTTTATATCTCCACGGATGGAGATTCCACAACCTCTCTGGGCAACCATTCCACACACACACACACACATATGCACACATATTTCTACTGGAAGCTTATATAAATTATATACTTTCTCTATAGATAGGCCTTTCAGAACATACTTACACTGAGGTTTGGTTTTGTTGGGTGTTTTTGGTTGGTTTGCTGCAGCTGGGGGTGGTGTAGTTAATCATCAGAGTATCTGCATGCTGCTTCCCAGATCTCACTGCTTTCAGCTTAGTGACTATGAAACTGCTGAATTTAAGATGACATTTCCAATTATTTTCTGTGCCAATCTACTACTTTAATCAGAACTAAGTTTTCCATTTGTTGCTCTCTAGTCTTCCCACTCTAGCCATCTTTTCTACACTGTCTCTCTCCCAGCTCTCTCAAGAAAATAAATTCTAAGCACAGTAACCTACCTTTGTATCACTATGAGAAGAAAAAACACACCTTAAGGAAGTGGAAAAAAACCTGTCCTGCACAGATGCAAGGAGAATGTCCCAGATCCCACCTGATTCCCTAATATCAAATTTGCAGTCCAAATCTATTAACTGCACAGAGGATTAAGAATTTGTCCAGAAGCCATAAAACTATGCCAAGAATGCATATTACCAGTGCTACAGACTGAGGGAGTGGAAGATAAGAGATAACAGGCAAACTAATATACCAGGACTCTTTTAGATGCCAGAAAAATTCCCTTGGATCATCAGATTTATTTAAGTACTATCATTAGGTTAAGTGTGATGTGGATTTCATTCAGTTATTTTAAGAACCGTCTTGTCTCCCAGCTGACTCGACCGGTCCCTCAGGAGGACTCACTATACACCATTTGGAGTATTTGTTTTTATTTTGGTTTGTGTTGGGGTTTTTTTTGGTGTCTGTGTTCCATCTTCCCCTGAATTCCCTGCAGTTCCCCACAAGCTCTCGGGCCCCACAGGAAGCTGCCACTCCCCTCTGACCTTCAGAGCCTCGGGATCTCTGCTCGGGGTGTCCCTGTTCTTATGCAGCCACAGGCACTGCTTTCTTTGGGATAATGTCTGCTGAGAGAGAGTTTACCAGTCTTGTTTGTACTTTAACACGTTCATTGTCCCAGGGGTTTTTTTCCCAACAAAATATCCAGGAAGACCCTTGGCTCTCTTCTCAGTCAGCTCAGTTGTGCTGTAGAAGAGCAGCTGCCAGCCACCAGAGAGCCATGGGAGGCACAGCACGCCCTGCTCCACCCTCCTCCAGTGCGAGATTCACCACCCCACACAGGACCCGGGGCAATCCCAGACCTGCTCTGGTACCGAGGCTGGAGAAGCAGATCCCTCTCGGCTGCCATTGCCTAGAACAAAAGGGTTTCTCCACGCCAGGACAGAGAACGGGCACAGTCACCAGCTGAGAAGGTTCACAGCCAAGATGCAGAGCTGAAGCTGCCTCCAGAGTGCTGCAGGTCAGTCAGGACCTTGGAGGAGCCACCCCTTGCCTGCCCAGTACCAGAACATAACCAGGCTCCCATCCAGGGGTGACACTGCACAGGAGCAGCTCACAGGTCTCTCTTTCAGAAACTGGTAGCCACTGTCACAAGGAGATTCTGGCAGAGTGAGACACTCAAGGAAGCCACTGGAGAGCCAAGAGAGGTTGCTCTAAAGCACAAGCTAAGACCTTTCCATTTTACGTGTATTTTGAAATAACTATTGCGTGGCTCCTCACACCCAGACCTTCACACCTCCCCTACCAGCCAAAGTGGCACACTCACCAGTTCTGCAAAGGTACTAATTCAACATGCAAAAAGCTTTGCTTATGCACTGCTTCCTTTTTTTAATGGTATCTCCATGTGCAATCTCCTTCCATCCTTTGGCTCTGAAACAGCAGGTTGGAAAGCTGCAGGCAGCATCATTCCCATCCACCCTCCTGCTGTCAGCAGCAGACAGCGGATCCTTCCCTCCCTTGCCACCTCCTGGCTCTCAGACAGAAGCTCCTGAAGCTGTGGCACAGTGTGTGGGCAGCACATTGTTCTGACTGGTACTTCAGCTGTGCCATCCTGCCTGCCACGCTTGGCGCTCTCCCTCCACTGCAGCCCAACCCAGCAACACCCAGTCACCAGGTTTCTCCCTCCTGCTCCCAAAGAGCCTCGTGTGTGTCACTCTTCTCCTCCTCCAAGCTGTCCTTAAGGACACAGCACATTCGGTGCACAGCCCAGCATCCTTCAGGCAGGGATGTAAATGGGAGCCTGTTTCCCAAATTCCCTTTCTGTGAGCGGTCCAACTGCTCACATGACAGACAGGGACTCACACCCGTGGTTGTCATGAGACTGCCAGAATCACAGACACATCTCCATGTCCACTCAGGAGGTGACAGGTGTGAAAACCAGAACCAATGAAATGGTAACTTTTGTTCTTTTAAGCAAGTGGAACAAGAGTTGGGCTCCAGAGAACAGGCAAGACAAAATGCTGCAATACACAGGGCACAGGGTTATGTGATCAGTGCACCATGTATTGCCTAATTATCCAGGAAGATGCAGCCTAATGAGAAACTGGAATTAGTTTCGTTACTAAGCCAGTATTGCCCATAGCCATTAACCTGAAACCACCTCAAATGAAAAAGAACCTTAAAACTGTGTCAGTTCAGAAGACTAACACACAATATCCACCACCAAAATCATCCATTTGTCTTTATTGAGGGAGTAAACACCTCATGTAATAAATGACTGGAAAAGCTTAAGACACTAATGCACTCCAACTGTTCTGTTATTGATCCTCTGCTGGAAGTTAAAACCTCCTAAACAGAGCTGGCACAACATGTAAGTGTTCCTTTGTGAACTCGAGGGACACCAGTTCCCCTGCAGCTTAGGCTCAGCCATGAGAATTCACACCAAAACCCCCAGCTCTGCTCCCCTGGACTCTCACACCTCCTTTGCTGCGTGGCTGCATCCCTGGGGCACAGGGCAGGGAGACGGGAGCAGTGGACAAAAGGAGAGAATGACATCTCCAGTGACTCGGCTCACCAGGCACACACCTGCCCCTTCACTGCACACTTCTGCTCCCATGTAAACAAGACCCAAGCACAATCCTCCCACCCTTCCAGTGTCATTGGAAAAGCTGGAAACAGTTTCTGTCCTAACTCGTGCGAGTCAGCTTAACAACACTGTGCAGAGCAACACTGGAATAGCTCAGCCTTCTGCTGGAATCCTGCCAAAAGACTCACTCCAGTAAACAGAAGGTTTAAAGGATCACTACCAAAGCTCCCAGTAAGCACAATGCTTCCTGCATAAAAATATCCAACCAACCCCCCTCCCCTTTTTTTTTTAAGTGCCACTGTGTTTCTGGGTACCGAAATCTCTTATGTTCACAGAATTTATAGAATAGTGATATGCTAAAATACTCCTGCAGAAATCCAGTTTTTGGTAAAAAGTAAAAACAAAGTAATTATTAAAGCTACTTTTAATATGAACCTATCACATTCAAATTTTGCCTTTAAAAATTGTCTTCTGACTTTCATCACTTCTACAGAAAAAAATTACTTTTAACCAAATCAGCCAAAATCCCTAAACTGGCTAAGCAACAGTTTGGCTGCTCTGGAGGTTTGACTTATTTAGACTCAACACATGATATATGACACAGATACCCGTGTCATCCACTGCGGTTTTACAGGCAATCAGGAAAAAAAGAAGTTTCCCAGAGGTATGATTTATATATATATATATCCAAACACACACACACATATATAATTCTAAATATGAGATATGATTATGTTATAATATTATAATTATAAAAGAAATAAACATAAATCAAATAAATTAATAACCCCCAAACCCATCCAGGAGTCCCAAAGCTGCAAGGACCCCAACAAATCCACACCAGGGACTCACCCAAAGCTCTCTGTCCTGCACCAGCTCCTGGGGGGCACCTGAGAGGGCTCTGGGACCCCAAAACACATAAAATTTTATATATACACGTGTTGATTGGTTTTTGTTTTGGTTTTTTTTTTTTTTAAATATATAATATTGAATTAAACTGTGTGGGATACAACATGAAGCATCAATTCTGTATTATTTTTGCAGAAGAACCCCCGGTTCTCGACCATGACCTTTTTTTGTGAGCCCAGCACTGCCCACGCAGCCGTGGCCCCAGCGGGGCTCTGCACTCACCATTCCTGCGCTCGGTGAGGGGGGGCAGGCACTGGCTGGGCTGCAGCGACAGCTCCCGGAACTCGTGTGCCACGGCCTCGCTGTGCGGGCTGGGGGCCAGCCGGGGAGGGGGCCCCGAGTCCTCCTCGGCATCCACAGGCCCCAGGTGATCCATGCTGGGCGATCCTCTGCACTCTGGGGAAACAAAGACACTCTTAATCACACTGTACTTGAGGAATAAACAAATCACACTGATGTTTTCTTCGGTTCGGGTTTGGGCACTTCCTTCGCGCGCACAATTCAACTTCAGAATTACAGGGACGTTATTACTGATTCTCCACAGGTATTATGGGCTTGCAAAACCAGAGTTAAGCAATGTATTGACAGGCAATTGGACGGTGCACTGGTTCTGAGAGGCAGGACAGTGTCTCTGCTCCCCTGACACAACAATTCCCCTGTGGACGCTCAGGATCTCCTGTGCCCGACTCTATTATCAGCACAACATCCCTTTATTCAGTAGCTCATACCAGAGAATGCTCAATTAATATATGATAACATACAAATGGCTTTTAGTACTTTGAAGTACTGCACGACTTTCCTTTGTACCCAAAATCAACTTTAGTACTAATCCAGGACTTCATACTGCCTCAGGACTATGTTAGAGCTCGTTACTCCTCCACCTCTCCAGCAAGGAAGACTTTTAGGTATGAATGTTTTAAAATTAATTTTACTGCACACTAGCTACTTACTGTAGAATACAGAATGGAATAAACCCCCAATTTATTATTTCTTTCCTTCCTATCATTAATGTGCTACCTAATCTACAGTGAGGACAGACAGAACTATGAATTATTGGTACAGGCTTTTCATAGCTCACAGAACTATCAAGTCTTTAAAATTTCAATCAATCAATATGGACTTCAGAGAAGTCCATCCCTGGATTCTTGGAAACTGGAACAATATGAAATGTTACCAATTCAAGAAGATTCATAAAAATGAAGAAATGTCGTATTATCATTAGCCTGCTTGTTCATTTTAAATTCTTTTTCTTAAGAAACACTACTGCTTGCCCATACTCAACCTGCAGTTTCAAACTTCAAGTATGCTGAATAGAAACACCACACCTGCTGGGGGATGTATTCCAAGGTTTTTAAAATGCAGTTTGTGTTTCAATGACCAAAGAATGGCCTACACTAGAAAAAGGGGGAGATGATCATGTTCTGAAAGTGCCAACAGAAAAATAAGAAATATAAGCAAGTACTGCTTGGTATATACCTCAGCAGAACAATTACGATGGTTAAATGCATATTTTTCATTATTTTCCCTAGCTACCAATTGGTGCTTTCACACTAAATGAAGACACATTAACTTACCGTTATGCAAGAATTTTTTTCTTTGTTCTTAGCTTTCAGAAGCACAATTCACCCAGCTCTCACTCGATTTCCTGACATTACACTCTCCTCAAACTCCCACTCACCCATACAAATGAAGTACATTATTAACTAAGCAAGTCTCTTCAGAGGAAAATTTAAGAGAAAATTTAGCTGCTTATCTGCTCATATTCACAGCATTTTATCCACAATTTATTAGCTGTAAGTTGCCTTGGAGTCAGTTCTCAAAGAGATTAAGCCACATGAGCTGTATTCATGCTTTCAAATCCACGTGAAATTAAAGGAAACACCTTCTTGTACTGAAGGTTTAACAGTTGTTAAATTGATGTATTATTTTTATTTGATTTATTTTATTATTTTATTAGTTCTCTGTGACAGATAACTAAATATCCTGCTTTAAATTAAACCAGCTTAACTTTGATCACTTCTGCAACACACTGCTGGACTAGTTACACATCCATTTCTTAAGGTTTGTTTGAGGACTGTACGTAAATGTGGGGTTATTGTCCCGATTCCCCTCGGAACAGGGCATGCAATGACACGGCACTGATTGCAGCACTGCAGCACAATTCAAAACAAGCTTGGCTTCCCACACAAGATATGCTTGATCTGTGGCTTGGACATGAGTCAATCAGGCTCAGAGGGACCTTCTGGAGGTCCCCTATGCCACCCCCAGCCCCGTGGGGTTCCCCCTGCCCAGGAACTCATCTTGCCAGGTTCTGAAATCCCCACAGCAGCTGATTTCATCACCTCTGGGGAGCCTGGCTGTGAATGCCCTGCCCACCCCCTCCACACAGAACTTCTCTTCCTGCTGATGGCACTCTCAGGTCCCAGTTTTCACTGTGATTTCACACGGCACATGAACTTCACCATCAGGAAAACTCTAAACCCAGAGTTCTCCAGGGCAGAACTCTAACCCTCATTTCAGAGCCTCTAGTTCACAGTAAAGTCTCAGATGTTGCAATTACCTGCTCCTCTATCTTTCAGATAGCCTGTTAAAAATCCAGATATTTTCCCAAGTGATCCTTTAAGAGCAGAACAACCCTCCTGCTCCAGCTGGAACCCTTTTGCAATGTTTCTACGTAATCTTAGAATGAAAGACACTCTAGAATTCCCAGAAAGTCTAAATCCCTCAAATTCCTCAGCCGTATCTCAAATCACATTTTGCTCTCATTCTTTTCATTACTACTGATGAACTGCTACTGTATCAAACTACAGAAATATTTCTGAGCTTAGAACAACAAATTCTCTTGACCTTCCCCCCCCAAAAAAAAGAAAATACACCTCCACACAACATTTATAAAGATTTTTTGTAGCAGGGAAAAAACATTTACAAACCTTACAGCTCCTTACTGAATCAATGAACAGAACATCTAAAAAATATTATGAAAATGACACACTGAAGAGTTGCAATAATAAAATATAAATAATTAATTTGATGCTTCTCTCTTGGTCGATTAAATTCTAAAGAATTCAGCTGTTCAACTTTCTAAAGAGAACTCCTAAACTTGGCATCCATGAAATTACTAGTCTGTCTTAGGCATAAGGTTTTCATTATTGATTGACAAAGTAATTGGGACACTTAAAAACCGTTTTGATAAATAACTTTCCCAACAAATAAACAGACAAAGAAACAGACAAGGAGGAAAGGAGCCATCTCCGTAAACATCTTTTTACACTGCTGCACTGCCACCCTACTGTTTCTCAGCACAATCATTTTAACTGCTCAATAAGATGAACACAACAGCGTTTTCATCAAGGGGAGGCTGCAAGCATTTACTTCCCATGAAAAGAGACTTGATATGCAGAACATCTCCTGTTCTTTTCAGTCTTCAAAAGCCATATACCGTTCTGATGTTCCCAGTGTAACTTATTGTCTGGACATCAGCAATTCAAAGACAAAACTCAGGAGTAGCAAACATTAGTCCACCTTGTTTAAAACCAAGCCTTGCACAGTAAATACTTCATCCAGTAACCATGAGCAAAAGTGAGAAATGCCTCTGATTTAGAATGTAATATACCATGATACCACCACAGTTTATACTCAAGATAACAATTTGCCTCCTGTTTCTCATTTATTTGAAGCCTCCTCAATCTTGAAGAATTATTTCATATTTGCCATCTGCATTTCCAGATGGTAACCATTATCTATGGAACCCCTGACTTTAAGCAGACCTATACACAAAGTGTGTTTATAACATAACTGAAACTCAACAGTAAAACCATGTACAGGAGACATACAATTAAAAATAATTCATACTATTCCAGTTTTACTCTGCCCAGTCCAAGAAAACACCTTTTGTACAAGGCTGGTCTGACAGAATTCTGTTGTCACTTCAGGGGTTTCCACTCCCTTGCTTGACACTGGGACACCTAAAGGTGAAGCTGTATGAGCCATCATTACAGCTGGCAGGAAAAACTGCTGGAAAGCACAATACAACTTACTTGTGGCAGCTGAAATAAAAACACTCCACTGTTCCAATATTCCCCAAAGCTTCCAGGGGGCTATTTTTTGGTTAGGGTTTCTTCCTTAAACACAGAATTCAGCGAAACGTTTGAGAGTAGTAAAGCGAAAACTAGAAAAAAATTATTTTCCTACCTAACCTTTAGAATAGATTATCAAAATAGAACCCGCAGCAGCACTGCAAGGAGGGCTGTGGTTCACATTTCTCTGACAAGCACACAGAAACAGTGTTCCAGCCCTGGCAAACCAGAGCTCTGTACAATGCATGAGCCTTATGTAAGTGTTCTCACAGATTGTAGGTGGTTGCTATCTTCTTAACTGCTGAAGACAAACGCTTCCTTTATTTTTAAACATTTTATCTTCAAAAGACAAAGTATATTTCCTTAGAAAAATCTTATAAGGGAGGGAAATACATACTTCCCTGCTACTTGAGACACTAGAACTGGTATTTTATTCAGCACAAACTGTGAAATCTGGATGGCACTGAAGTAAGAAATCAGCTTTTAATTTAGAAATCCACTGGAAAAAAATAGTTCAACAATCACAGTGCATTGCAACTCTGGCCAAGGCAAATGGCTGACCTTAGCACTGCTCCCTCCCTCACACCTGCAAGGAATCTGGGGCACCATACACGGTGCAGCATTTAACTGAATTAACAGCCACCAGGTTAGATATTAGCAATGCCAGGCTCCAGAACAGGATCTACAGAATCATGCTGGGCACACGAGCAGACAGTTTCTCCATTTATAAAACTCAGTAAAATGTAACACTCTGTAGTCTGCAGTTTCTAATACACCCGAGTCTTTAGTGGGGACAGTACTAGAATTGCAAAATGTTGGGTTTGGTTGGTTTGTTTTTCTTACTTTTTTTCTTCCAAGTGTCAGAAAACACTGAACACTAAAAAAGACACTTCAAAAGTAAGTGGAGATCCAGCAGGTTCACCAACAGCTGCCAAGCAAGGCCATTTGCACTGAACTCTTCAATCTTCCTGTCAGTGCCTGGAAAGACCTGGAAATCTGTGCACTGGGGCTGGAGATCACAATAAGCACTTGGGGACTATTACAGTTTCAAGCTTTCCTTCCCTGTGAGCAGAGAGCATTAATGACCTGTACTGAGCTAATGTGCTAAGTCACACTCTGAGACCAGGCTGCAACTCCTCTCTCCTAAAGGAAGGGCCAGGAGTCGGAGTTCAGAACTCTGCTGGTCCCACCACTGCCCAGATACGCCCTCAGCGAACTTCCCTTCTTATCTCCAAAGAGCCCCCGTGGTCAGACCCTTGGAATGCTCAGTTCCCCCTCTCTTCCCAGGATAAACGCACGTTGGGCTTGGACATAAACACT